TAATTTTTGGTATAGTAGTTGTGACTTATTCACACTATATACATTTGGCTTCCGCAACAGGGTGTTCAACTAACAACCTGGTTGCAGCTCTGCCCCTGCTTCTCATCCCTTTAAGCATTGAAACAACATGGCTACATCTCTAAATTCAGTAGGGGATTTAGCCAATTCTTCCTTTTTGGAAATTATATTCTAACTAGCTAGCATTTGGTTTTTCAGTATCTGGACTTGTGATCAGTAGAGAGCAAGCTCAACTATCGGTATCTTCTGCACTCGGTTCGAATGTTGGTTCCAGTGTCTTGAATCTTACTGTGCTCTGGGGCATATGTGTCATACTTGGGAGACAAAACATCTCAGGAAATTCAAATACACAAAGTGCAGACTCATCTTCTTCTACTTTGAAAATGAAAGACTTAAAGAGTATGTTAATTTCCTTTTCATACTAAGAAGTTTGGAAAAAGATACAACTAAGCATCATAAGAATGAGATCTTTCTTTACAGGTACTGGAATCATAACAAATGATCTAACTGGTTATATAGCCGGTGTCATGTTTCTCTCCCTTGCACCATTCATAATAATGCTATTCATCGATATCATTAGTTCATCAGTGGGAAAGCGCATCACCATTCTTGTTGCTCTCATAGTATCAGTCACATTGCTGCTGTCATATTTCGCATATCAGGTGATCAACAACCTAATTTTATGGTTTATTATCCAATACCACTTTATTTATTTATTACTTAAGGTCATATAAGTCACTCTTTTATGTACTTCATGTTATAATAACATGTTTGTTTATGTTCTGATATATATAGATGTGGAATCCATTGATTCAAGAAAAGTGTTTAGAATATATAAGATACGAAAACCTGGTGAAAGTATTTGTGGAGCATATCCAAAGGCAGGCAAGAGGAAATCTCTTTAAAGATGGACGTCCTGACATTAACGTGCTCAAAGGGTAACATTTTTTGACACCCTTAAATAATGAGTTAAATCTACCACCCATACTTTTAAGTCACCTGGAAGTGTAAACATCTTCCTTTTTACACATCACTGTGTAGAAGTTAAACTCTTATGAAAAGTCTTGTTTCCTCATATATTTACCAAGACTTACAGTTAATACTATCTTGAGCCGAGGGTCTATCGGAAACAACCTCTCTACTCCAGCGGGGTAAGAGTAAGGTCTGCGTACACACTACCCTTACCCGTGGGATTTTACTGGGTTGTTGTTGTTATTGTTGTTGTTGGCGTACAGTTAATACTACAATTCATTTAAAGTAGCAGCATTTTGATCTATTTAAGTCAAGATAATTTCACTCGTGCAGATTATTTACCAAAGCCGACAAAGATAGGAGCAACTCCATAACACTCACTGAACTAGAAGAACTGGTAAACCAGCTTGAATCAGGAAAGGTTAAAGTGGACAGTAACTTTGCCCTGTCAACACTGTCAAGGATATTCGACAAAAATGGAGATGAAAGGATAAATGAGGAAGAGTTCATTGAGGGATGCAAGAAGTTGATACGGGAATCCAAGGGCGATTCCACCTCCATCAAGAAATATTTTGATGAGGCAAAACAAATCTTCTTCTTTTGCTCTCTTTCACTAATATAGACACTAGTGACTCTATCTGTGACAAAAAGAATTACTTTTAGTTAGTCAAAATAAAAGGATGTTGATAGGAACAAGGTGGAATATGATCATAATTTGAGCTAGTACTATGTAAAATGATTAATTTTGGCAACTCCATATATATGCAGGTAGTTAAGGCGTACACTGAGGGACAACAAAAAGAAGTAGTTAAGATTCAGGAGCTCATGCCAAGAGTTCTCACACAAATACAGAACCAGGCAATTGAATCCGAAGGCCTTTTAAAAGATGACGGTAGCCCCAACATAGAAGCTATTAAAAGGTAATGTTTGTTGGATTTTGCATATGTTACTAGAATAATAAGTAGTCTAGTTGTAGGAGAACTCTTTGTTTGAATTTAACTTTAGTTAGATAAGTTTAGTTTAGATATTTTAGGCTTTTGAATTTTATTCTACAGATTTTCTGTTTTCAGAGTAGGCTATTTAAAGCCCTCCACGCTTAATAAAATTCAAGAGAGAAACTTTCAATAAATCTTCAGAGGAGAAATTTCACAAGCTCCTAAGAATCAATGTCTCATTAATCCTTATCATCTGATCGTGTTACAGGCTCTTCCATAAGTTAGATGATGATCAAAACAGTTACTTAACACCATCAGAACTGGAGAAACTAACGGAAAATGTCAAAATCAGAGAAGCACATCTAGATCACCAAGGCTCTATCGAGGAAATCATCAAGGATTTTGATCAAAATAAAGATAACAAGATCGACGAAAATGAGTTTCTCGATGGTGTGAAATATTGGCTTCGTAATGCCAAGAGGAGTACCGAAGAACTTCAGGATAAAGTAAAATATATTACTAACTAAATAGTCCTATATGTCTTGTGTCTGATGTATATATGTACAAGATATTTTGACAGCTAGAGTTTGTTTTGGAATTTATTTTTGCAGATGATATGGGGAGAAGTCGACAAGTTCTTGGATGAGGCTAAAAGAGAAAAACATAAACGTTTCGACTACTCTTTGGTGTTGAAAGGAGCATTCTGCAAGTCTGTGCTGCAAGTGATTTTGGGCACTGCTATATTAACATTGTGTGCTGATCCACTCATGGATAATATTATACGACTGGCAAATGCAATTGGCATGCCTTCTTTCTTCCTATCATTTATCATAGTACCTCTGGCTATCAATGCAAGAACTGCAATAACAGCAATAAGTTTATTATCTTCAACAAGCCAGCAGAGTTCCACAACTTCTTCTTTGACATTTTCCGAGGTCTACATCTCTTCTCCTCTATCTCAAATTCTCCAACACAATTACTATGTTCAGTAGAATTTTTTCTCTTTATTTTCTCATGAAACCTCCGGCAGAGTACTTGCTTTCTTTTTTATTTGTAATTTTGTGTTGACAACTCTAATATTATTTCATTTGTTTTACAAGCAGATATATGTCCGAGTAATCTTGAACAACATTATGGGGATGTCAACAGTGTTATTTGTGTTGTATGCAAAGGACTTAACATGGGAGTATTCAGTTGAAGTGTTGACATCTATGGTGGTTTGTGCTGTAACCGGCCTTTTTGCATTTGTCCGCACAACCTATCCACTTTGGACTTGTATCATAGCTTTCCTACTTTATCCTATCTCACTTGTACTGCTTTATCTCTTCCATTAATTGCATCTTGTATTAAATCCTCTAATCTCAAAGTTATTCAACTCATGAAAGTGTTGATAGCAACATATGTATGGTGGTCTTGAGTTGTAGAAGGCCTATTTGCATCATCCCCACCACCTATCAAATCTCACTTGTACTGCTTTACATTCTCCATTCTTCAATAATAACTGCTTGATGCTGTAATTTAGATCCACTAGTCTCAAATTCTTTTATACTTTTTTGTGCTTATAAATTTTTAAGTTCTTGTTCTTTCAGGTTTTGCCCACACTAACTAACTAAGCATAGCAATTAGTGAGCAAAGGAGACCAGGCCATAGGGCAACAAACTAGAGAAAATAATAGGGCGTCATTATCTTTTGATTATTCTTAAATGTAGACTAGGCATTTGTGATATTTTATCAACTCATTCATAGCAAAATGAAGTGCCAAATGTATAGTTCAGGAACATACTGTGCTAGTAGTTATTGTTGCGGAAGCCAAATGTATAGAGTGTGAATAAGTCACAACTACTATACCAAAATTTATGACAGCCACCAAATAATAAATAAGACAACAAAGCAACAATAAAGGGAACACCAGAATTTACGAGGTTCGGCTAATTTTGCCTACTCCTCGGACACAACCAATATTTTATTCCACTCCAAAAA